AGAGTATAACTAAGCCAAGCAACACCTTTACCAAAGCCAATTGCTTGACCAGGACTCATTGAACTGATCAATGTTAAGGTTGTTGTTGTATAACTGAATAAGAAAACTGTATTGATTGACTGTATACCAACAAGAACTTGTGTTGTTATTGGATTTATACTAACAGACATATCGAATTTAGCTGCATACTGATCAGCTCCTACATTTGTTAGACCAGCTTGCCATGATGCTAAACTTGCTGAATAATTCCATGAACTGATCGGTGTTGCAATAGCTGTTGACGCACTAATACTGAACAGAGTAATAGCTGCACGATATCTAACACCTATTAAAATACAAAAAAAAACTAAGAATAATTTATTCATTTTGTCTACATACGTGAATTTCGACCATTATCGAGAAAACCAGCAATAATACCAAGACTACCATCATAATCCACAGCAAAAGGTAAAAATGATGTTGAAGGCGAGAGTGAATTATTTTGATTAACAACTAAATTGTTTGTAGCTGCTGTATATGAAAATGTAAAGAGATCAGAGAAACCATAAGCAATCGAACCGATTAAATCAGTTACCATCACTAAATGTTCTTGATGAGCAAAGGCTCCTGGAATAAATTGTATAGTAAAAGTAAAATCATTATCACAATCAATTGAATTAAAAGATCCTGTATAGCTAAGAATACCAACAAATGTACGATTCGTTAATGCATTTTGTTTGTCGAGACCAATCATTTCACCAAAAAAGAAAATATTGTAAGTCGATTGATTTTTACCGAGAGCAACAGCATAGACAAATTGTGAATCATCATTATATTCAATTGAACAACTTCGATCATTGGCCTCTGTAATATTATCAGTATAGGGTGCAAATTGAATAAGAAATTCAGTATAATCATTTTGTGCTTCAACAATCATCAAATTATTAGCAGCTATTTTCAATCCATATGCATCATAATCACTTGTATCTGGAAAAAAGATGACAGCAGACGAGAAGCATATGAAGAATGAGAATAACTGAAGTCGAATAAACATTTCAATGTACTTCTCAAAAAGAAAATGAAATAAATCTAAAGTAGAAATAATAATTAATAAAGACTTAAATATCGTTCATAACCGTTTCCACTCTCATAAATGTCACTATATACAGTTGTTTACGATCGTCGTTATGATCGATTTATTTGAGGAGTTACAAAAGAAGGAGAAAAAACAAAAGAAAAGTAAGCAAATATAAAGTAAATTAAATTTTTCAAACATTTTCATAAATGCACGACAACTATCAGAACGACTTAATTAAAAATTAAAGTTTCTTTATTCCTCTCTGATACGATAGCTGCATTAAGGAAAACAATAAAATAATATACTTTTGTATAAGAAATTAATAAAAGATTTTTTCATTTTTAGGATATAAAAATAAAAAATACTTCACTTGTCTGCTAATGACTGCTCTTTCAATGTATTCTTTTGTTAATGTTTTCTTCGTTGTTGTACTTTTTTCTTTTTTTCTCGTCTATATATATATATTAGAATATGCAAAAGGTAGAAACGCAAAATAAAGAAAAATATGGAAGCCAATCCATCGAATTTCATTCATTTAATATTTACCATACTCGCTGTGATTACTGAAACACTTAGAAATAAGAAATTAATGTTTTATAACGATTATTTTTTCTCTTTCTTTCAATGCCATAAAAGATATCAGGAGTTTTAAAAAAATACATGACATTTTTATATGGTTCAATAAAGGCATACATATATATTTGATCTTTATCGTACTTTTAACAACTCACTTTATAAATAAACTATCGGCAGAAAAAAAGGAATGAACAAATAAATTATTTTTCTTAACTCTACATGATTTATCTCTTAGTTCTATTTATTATTTATTCTTATAGAGCAAAGAGTAAGTGATAATTTGTTACTATAATCAAAAGTATTTGGTTGTTTAAAGGATTCATGTCATTATGTAAAATTTTATTTCGAAATTTTGATAAAAATAAAAGTATGGTAAAAAACAATTGTGTTAATGGCGAAACACAACTTGTTCTTTTTCTTTCTATTGGTTTCATTACTTTAGTGTGCAATTTGTGTTAGTATATAAGATTCAAAAAAAAGAAATAAAAGGCATACTTACCTGCCACAGATGCATTTATGATCAGAGTGGTGAATGCTCCAGGTTGAGGCGTGAGCATTGCACATCGCTCTCGTTGACGTCTGTGAATAAGTCCACATAGGGCTTACTCAAGTGGAGAATTTATTTCGCGGCCATTTGCGTTCGCGCATTGGCCATTGATAATAAAATCAAAATGAAAACTTTTGCAAAAAAGCGACGGTTATTTTTATGGTAATTGAAATATATATCTTGAGGATGTGGGTGTAAAATCAACATAATATCCACACCCACGCCCTGCATTGCTATTTTTGCCAAACTGGAAGCTGTTGCTGACACAATTAATGATTTTATATCGATACTTAATCTAATTCGTCGCGAACGACATGAAAAGAAAAAAAGAACAGTTGTAGAAATTCTTTAATGATGATTTATCAAAACATTTACGAAACCTTGAAAGTTTAGGTAGAATATATGTTATTGGCGGTCAATATTTCGCTGGTAACAATTTAACATTGACAGATTTATCATTCTATGATGCTGGTGAAACTCTTTTTCGATTAGATGCAAACGGTTTACATAATTATCCATGGTCTATCAAGTAAACAAACTAAATGTAGAGTAAAAGTAATGAAAATCTTATTTTAATGAAAATTTTCGATCCTTATCGTTCATTATCAACCAAAAACACGAACATGATATAAGTACAATTATGTTAAAAATATACATGAAAACTGAAAAACTATTTTACAACAATATCAATAACAACATAAACAACTGACAATGATTTTATTTGTCACCAGTAATAAATTCATTTGACTAGATCTTTATTTTAACATGATTGAATTTATTCCATATACCTATATACCTATATACTTACTAATAACTCATGTAAGAATAGCTACTGTATAATAATAATAATGTATGAAAAATATAATGAAGACATGACATTTAATGTAAAATCTAATAAATGAACTAAAAGTATTTGTAACATCAATATATTTGTATTTTGTTTGTGTTTTTGGTTGATAATGAACGATAAGGATAGAAAATTTCCATTACAATAAGGTTTTCATTACATTTACTTCGTTTAGTTGATATTGTATTAAAATCTCATGTCTTTATTATTTTTATACATAACCATCCATAGTTAAAACAAAACCGTCTTTTAGTTGCAAGTCAACCAAGAATTGCCGAATATCTAAGAAATCGACCCAAAACGGTATTTTGAAAAATCAAAACAAAATCAGGAAAAATACATAAAACTTCTCAAAATTTTTTCTTAAGATTTGCTTTTTTTATTCATTTGGCCTATTCTTTTAATGTCCACGTTTTTAATGGATGTTGACATCATCGTCTATTATTATTTGAAAAATAAAAAAAACCTTGTGAAAGTAGTAGAGTAAACAGAATAATATAAATACTGTTTTTATTATAAGTTGATAAACCAACTAGATTCAACCGCAGTTGCAATGCATTTATTCTTAGAAATGAGACCATCGGGTGTGAGTGTGAGTTTGATATATCAGTGACACCGATATCATCCTCAAGATGAGATATCAATCATGGGTTTGAATTAAGATGAACTGTAATTACTTAAGTCAAAATATCAATCTAAACCCTCGTTTGGTATTTTGAGTATAGGTTTGTGAGTCTTGAGGGTGTGGGTATGGGTGTGGGTTTGGGTGTTAAGTTGTCAATGAAAAATAATATTCACACTCTCACTCAGGCCCTCATCCACCCACATCCACCCACTCTCAAGATGGTTTTATTCAAACCAATTAGTGGATATCGAGTAATAATAAACATTCAAAAATGAATTTAGTCCCTGTAAATTGGTTTGAAGGATACATGATGTCATTTTGAATTTATTCTCAAATTGTTACCGATTAATACAGAAAACTATCAATAAAATCAACAATCCAATCAATATGTAAATAACCGATATACCAACAATAGTGAGAAATATAATCGACATAGCAGCAGTAACTTCAGGAAGATTATTCTTCGCTGTTTGAGTGATAAACTGGACAAGAATAATGATGTGTTGTACGAAGTAGATGGCGCATTCTAATGGTTGTAACCAGATAAGAAAATCACCTATACGAGCAAACCAACTAAGTTGCTCTCGACATTTTCTTGCAACATAAGCACATGTAAATGAAAGTACGGTGGCATACATCAGAGCGTTAAGTAGATGAAGTCCAGCTGAAAAACCGACCGTACAGAATTGTGGCGAGTTCATCGAATCAATAATTGACTGTAATTGAGCGCGGTGCATAGCATATTCGATTGAACTGTATGTACCATTGACAGGTAGTATACGGTCCATCGTTGAGTATGTCGTCAAAGCAATAATACAGATGCAAAACGGAGGTAGAATCTTCCATAGTACATTCGTTTTCATAAACGAGCAAAGAGGATGCGGCGAAAGAAAATTTGTCATGTTGAATGATTGCTTGTTGTGTCATTCATTTTTTATTTCTTTTGGTTACGAGGACGCAGAACGTATGAAGAAAAAGAAAAAGGTAACAGCATTTTGATCACATTTTTGACTAAATTGGAAAGAAAACAGAACACACACGTGTATTAATGATTTTTTTTTCAAGTAACCAAGTACTTGTTTTTCGTCAATTTAAAATACGATTACTATCTTGCTTGACAGCTCAATAAACATGCGACGAATGTATGTGATGGAGAAATGAAAATGGGTATGAGTGTGAGTAAGAATAGAGTAACTAACACTCATACTGAAATTATATTTTGTTACACTTCTCGATTTGATAATATCGTTTCGCAAAATTCGTCAATAAAAATTTTTTCAATTGTTGAAAACTAAGATGTAATGAACTAATTTGAATAAGTGAGCTTTAAACGATAGTTCAATCGATCAAATGAATATTTTATCTTAGTCAACATTACATGCAGTGAAAAAACCAAGATGACTTCTGTTTTCTTCGTTTAAGTCATACATATATATGTTTTTTATTATACTTTTAACAACTCATTTTATAAATAACCGATAGGCAGAAAAAAACGAATGAAAAAACTAAGTTACTTTTCCTAACTCTACATGATTTATCTCTTAGTTTTATTTATTATTTATTTAGATATTCTAATGAAGCACAGAGTAAGTGATCATTTGTTACTATAACCAAAAGTATTTATATAAAATTTACAACAGAATTCTTTCTTTTTTATCAAAATTTATTTGATTGTTTAAAGGATTCGTGTCATTATGTAATTTTTGGATGATACTATATTACTCATAGCAATATGTAAAATTTTATTTCGAAATTTTGATAAAAATAAAAGAATGAAATAAAAAGCATACTTACCTGCCACAGATGCATTCATGATCAGAGTGGTGAATACTCCAGGTTGAGACGTGAGTATTGCACATCGCTCTCGTTGACGTCTGTGAATAAGTCCACATAGGATTTGCTCAAGTGGAGAATTTATTTCGCGGTCATTTTGCGTTCGCGCATTGGCCATTATAATAAAATCAAAATGAAAACTTTTACAAAAAAAATGGCGACTATTTTTCTGATAATTGGGATATATATCTCGAGGGTGTGGGTGTCAAATCAACATAATATCCACACCCACGCCCTGCATTTTTATTTTTGCCAAAGTCGAAGTTGTTGCTGACACAATTAATGATTTTGTATCGATAGCTAATCTAATTCGTCGTGAACGACATGAAAAGAAAAAAAAGAACAGTTGTAGAAATTCTTTAATGATGATTTACCAAAACATTTACGAAACCTTGAAATCTTGGCTAGAATATATGTTATTGGCGGTTAATATTTCGTTGGTAACAATTAACATTGGTAGATGCATCATTCTATGATGGTGGAGAATCTCTTCTTCAACGAGATGCAAACTGTTTAAATAACCACCCATGGTTAAAACAAAATCGTCTTCTAGTTGCAAGTCAACCAAGAATTGCAGAATATCTCAGAAATCGACCCAAAACGGTATTTTGAAAAACAAAACCAGGAAAAATACATAAAACCCTTCCAAATTGTTTCTTAAAATTAGTGTTTTTTTTATTCATTTCCTTTATTCTGTTACTGTTCACATATTAAAATGAAGTTGACATCATCATCTATTACCGTTTGAAAAAGAAAAACAACCCATGAAAGAAAATTGAGAGAAAATCGAGAAAAATTGAAAAAAACCACAAAGTATATAATGAAAAGCTTGTTTAGTATTGGCAAAAAATGTTTGTCTTTAGTTGTATCCATACGTGGCAAGACATGACTGCAACTTGATATCGAATCGGTTTCGATATGTTGTCTCACATGAATAAAGATTGTTGGAGGAGATTTTTGTTAAAAACTCAGTGAGAAATGTATCCTCATTAGCTTGGGTACATATTGTGTAATTTGATAATCCTTGTGTATTTGGTCGTGTCTTTTGAAAATCAATTAAGCCTTGTCCAAATAATTGATCCGAATCAGCCGATAAGATATACAGCGATTGAACGTTTTGTAATGTTGTACAAAAGCCGTTTGTGTTATTGTTCTGCATCTGGACCATCAACTGCGCTGCACTATTATCCCACCTAGATAAAGAAAAATAGTTAACAATGTATTTGTTCATGGAAAAATATCCCGTCGAACTCACCAAGAAATAGCCGATTCAGCTTGATTGGTACAGTTCGCTAACGATGTTATTAATTTGTATACGAATGGTGATAATGTAATGTTTAACGCTTTTAATTTCATGTCGACTTGGCTTAGATTGGCAGGCAGTAAATGTTGTATACTTGATGGCATCGCAACATAATTTTTGATTCCACTATCATCGACACGTTGTACAGCAAGTAAATCTCAATTATAAATAATGCACACATAAATATAAAGAAAGAATATTTATAGGAGTTGGAAAGTTCAGTACAGAATGGGTTTAGACAGATATGTGTTGAAGAGGAAGGGGGGAAGGGACGCGAAGTGGTGACTGAATCTTATCTAGTTTCTCTTTAGTTACGCTCCTAATTTACATCAACTATTAAAAACATAATATTGAAAATGATTATAAGTAGTAGAATGAATGTTCTTTTTTTTACCTAAGAAGACATTTGAACTAGTGCCAGATGGTTTTACCAAATACGGATAGGTTCCTAAGTTTGGATTTGGTGTAAGTGTTGGATAATCAGATATTGATTTGAACTGGCCACCTACAAAAACAAAGACATCAGAATAAATTAAATCGAAGTTCGCTTCAACTACTAACCAGATACATAAAGTGTTCCTATTTTTGGTACAATTGAGCGATCTCGAGTGATAGCTGCAGCTATATTTGTGAATGGACCCAGAACCAAAATATCCACTGGTCGCTGTGAATATTTCAATGTATAGATAATCAACTCAACTGCATCAAATGGTGATGGTTGCAGAAAAATGTCGGTCGACTGATTGAGACAAGAGGATGACGTCAGATAGTTATCGATTCCTGTAAGAATTGAGTTTGCTACAGTCCAGCCAGTTGATAATGATGATACACTTTAAGATAAAGAAATTAAAAGTAAAATAATTTATATATTACAAAATGATAACCTAAATCCACTAGCGACTGGAATACCATCTGTACAGCCAACTAATCCCAGAAGACTGAGAACATTGCTCGACGAATACAATGGTGCACTGATAAAATAGAGACTTGTTTAAACATAGATATGACTTCAATTTACCTAAACCCATCTCCAACAGTTGTAATAGCGACAACATCAACCGTTGGAACCTTTAATTACAACAACAACAACAATAATAAGAAGAAGTGAAACAAAAATATCTTACATTAATTAAATAAAGAATAGCCCATAAATCATCAACATCAACGTCAGTATCGATGATTACCGGTTGTCTAGTAATATCCTGCCCAATGCAGTTTTGAACTAACTGCAAATTTGTAGTGTTCACTGAAAAATAGAAGAAGAAGAATATAAAAACATACTTTTATTCAGTTCTTTCAAAATTCGTCAAAGAATTATTTTGTGGTGAAATCTATGATGTCTTTAGTTATCACGTGTTTCCACACTATTCTCGAGAGAACTAATTATTTCATCGTTCTCTAAAGTCTGTACCTGTAGTAGTTGTAACTTGGGATGTCGTTCCACTATTGACTTGATTCGTTGTCACCGTATTAGATGAGTCTGGAAAACAGAAGAAGAATAAAATATTAAAAACATTGCAAAAACTACAGTGGGCGAAGGGTAGATATGAATCAGAGATCGGCGATCCAGGGAACACCGCTCAAACTCCACTTTCACTGATCTATTTTTTGAATTCATGTATAAAATGAATTACTAAGTAATTCAAAACTTTTATACATTCTAAAACATGATACGTGTCTCTTATGGATAAATATATTTTAAATATATATTTATGTGATTACTAAAAGTTATTAAAAATGATTTTCATGACTTACCAGGAACTACTAGGTATTACTGGACTTTACGAGAGACTGATAGGGATACTAGGGAACACTACGACCAATAGCTCCACTCTCACCCACATCGAGATAATGCGCCCTTTGAGAGTATAACATATTCACCTACATCCTCAAGATAGTTTTTCTACTTACCCGATGAAGAAGTTCTGGTGAGACCAACTGGAACTGCAATAGCAATCACGAGTAACACACCAATTGCCAAACCAATACCAAGCCCAATTAGGCAAGGTTTCGAACAGCGCCCACTAGATCTATTGAAAATAATAAAACAAAATGGAGATCTCTTGCAAAAATTAGAAGGTAGTCACGTCTGATTTCATTATTGTTCATACATCAAGAAAAAGAATCCGTCCTAAAAATCGTAGCTCTCATTTATGCATCTGAGCCACAAAAATCAGACTATCTGTTAGCTTTTATAGAGTGTACAAAAGTGTCTCATTGAAAATTGATGTTTCACTCAGAGTGCATCTACTTAATAAATTGTTCGGCTTTTGCATCGCTAGCGGCCAACGCTGCAATTTTTCACACTGCAGGCGGAACAGTCTATTTCTCGTGCTTTCTTTCTAATCATAAATCAAGAGACTTAACTGAAATAAGTTAACCTCATCTATGCTCTCCTCAAAGACCAAATGCTGTCTTTCTTCTATGTTCATTTCACGGTTCATCGACAGAGATCTGTATTGTAGAACCTGCTGCTATAAGTGAGATCAACATGCTACTCTTTACAGTGAATGTATAATTTATTTCGAAAAATTATTCAGCAAGTTGCAGAAGAAAATTGAAATACTTACGATTTAGAAGCTTGATGCCCATTACCATTTTGAAGTCTTGATTGTGATGATGGATTTATGTACCTTACTGTTTGTGTATTATTCGGATTATTCAAATTCAAGTCGATACGAACATCATCAAGAGTAGTTTCGGGCAATGATGTCATTGTAGTTCAATTCTGAAAAGTACTTTACCAATGCTTATTTGAATATTAGTAAAAAGTCCTAAGAAGGGTGTGGGTGTTAATTAGAAATAAATATAATACCTGCAATCACCCACACCCTTGATTGATCTTTTATAAGAGATCAGACTTATTTTATTTTATTTGTGCTTAACTTTCTTGTGCTCAACATTCACCAACCCAGAGAAAATACCGGACTTTTGAAACTGTCTCCGGAGAGGACTGTGTATTGCAAGGTAGTCGAAAAGGATGGTATACTTCTTTTTCTTCTTAACTAACCCAAGAATGATATTTTCATGTGTTGTTTTCGCTTTGCAATGGCAACCATTTGAAAATCTCTTGTCCTTTTTTACTCAATGATACATTTAACGTAAAGTTGATAAACTGAAAAAACAGAATTTTCAGTCATGAGAATTCTTACTAATCGGGGATGTAATGATAAAATATAAACTGGTATATTGTACAAATTTAACACAGCAATGCGTACCTTAGTTTCACTCACGGCTGTTTCGCGTGACTACTGAAAAACAAATATCCTTCAATAACACACACAGAATAAATAAGTAGCCGAGTTTATGTATTTCTTTTGCTTCTTATAAAAGCATTTATTTTTTTTTATTTTTTCTCATCGTTGTATAGAAAAGAAAAATATTAGCCTAGCATTGTTGCTGTTGAAAGCATATTGTTCTTAAAAAAAACAACGTTTTTATAACTATAACATTCGATAATTGACTTGTTTACATGCAACGTTATTATGTATCTGACAATGTTCTTAAATTATTTCGAGAATTACTAGGACTATAGAATTCATTTAAACGTCATTCGATGCAGCTCATCATGTTCTATCTATGTTGCGAAAATAAAGTTTTGTGGCTAAAATCTTGAATTGCTGAGAAACTTTGTTGATCCCTTAACACTGCTACATAAAGGAACTTTCAGTTTGAAATGCTCTTGCTTGCGTGTCAAATTTTTGCAAAAGTCATTCCACAAACGTAATATTTTCAGAAAAGGTTTTGTGAAGCTTTCGAACCGCTTTTTAATATCAAAAGAACCGGTCATGGGTGCTAGTTCCCAAAAAAGAGCAAAATATTATGAGTACTTTTTTTTCTGTCACCTTCGATAAACACAAAAATTTGAAGTGATTGAGTATAGTTGAAGTAAAAAAAAGAAAAATGAAAGAATAAGAAAAACAGAAGCATATTAATATTCAATTCTTATTTCTACAAGAGAAAGACGTACTGTACATCGAAAGGACGAACAGTACTCTCTGAATATTTTACTTTGTTGTATCATTTCACTAATAAAAACTTAGTCTTCTTGTAAGAGTCTTCTAATTCATATGCTTCTTCCAAATAAGTATTCTCTTGAAAAAGTAACCATCTCAACAGTAACAACAAATTCATCTTCGTCATTACAAAATAAAAAATTCGTTTGGAGCTGGCAGTGAAATCGAAATCCATTTGAAGGAAAGGAGAAAAAACAACGAACATGTTAAAGTGATTTTTAAGCTGGATACATAAAACAAGTGTACCAACGATAAAAAAAGAAGCTTAACTAAATGATTATGTCATCGACTTCAGAAATCATCTACCGAAATTCGTGAAAAGAGAAGAAACATATTGTTATTCAGAAAGAGTGCTTCCCAAACAGTTATTAATGCTTTCGTAGTTGCGTAATAGCGCATTGCGTTGAAGGGAACTGGTAATAGTGCGACAATTTGAGACAAAAATAACTCGTTTTTTTTCTGTTTGTTCTACACATGATTTTAATGCGTTCAAATTTAACTTGCTATATTGTATTTCGTGACAAAATTTAACACATTCATACAAATTTTCATTTCATGAATGTTCGAGAGCAAAATTCTCACTTATAGAATTCAAGCTTATTCTACTATATAAATAATATATAAGCGGATTTTAATGTATTGAACTGATCTTGAAGCAGGTTGAAATATCGATTTCACTTACTGTTAAATAATACTTAACGGTAATTAAAGCCGAAAAAGAATGAATAAATAAAACATTGATAAATACGCTTTTTTTTATATCAACTCTACTGCAGTGATTACTGATGCGTCAGCCGTCGTTTTTTTTATCTTAATAAAAAAACAGCAATCAGTCCGTGAATGAAGCTTTTAAACGATAATATTTTTCGATTATTTGCATCACGAATCGAAAATTATAAATAAAAGTACAAAGAATGCACCGATCAGCACATGTTTTTATCTTTCCTTCGTTCGACCGAACGGAGAAATTTCACGTAAAGCGATTATTGGTTGTTTATTTAACGAATATTGCTTGTGATAATATATATAGAAAAAAATCTCTCACACATTTCTTTATTCCTGTATATCAATAACCGTAGGACTATTTCAATGGGAAAACTACTCTACAAGAGAGCACATGTAGTCTACGAAAAACATTGGTCATTTTTAAGTGTGAACTTGAATTGGTTAACTACTCTTCTGTTCAGAAGTATTTACATGTATCGTTGTTTTGACCATAAGCAGTTTTTGAATTATCTAGTTCAATCAACATCTGCCGTTTCTTATCTTTTCTCTATATACTGTCTATTGTTAAATTCTGAATTAATTCATAGGAAGATAATTAAATGAGTTTTCTTCTTCGATACAGTATCATGCACAATAAATTGGATTTATTCTAAAAACCCGGAAAAAAATATAATGAATTAGAGAAAAATGAAAATGAATAATATTATTTTTTTTACTTTTTCTACTAATCAAATCAACAAAAAAACGTTTACATCGATTGAAGGAAATTCAATATCTTTAAAAGAGACAACTTCGTTCGTCCTTCTCATTCGATTGGTCATTATATGTACTGTGGAATCATATGCCAATGTGCATGTGGAAATCTTTGATGACCTCTATAAGAAGAAAAACCTCCAGCTTCGGCATCATCATCGAAATATGGAGCAAGGTGGCGATGGTGATGATGATGGTGGTGATGTGCAGGCTGCATGTGGGGGGCATTTTCTCGCGGATAATAATCGTTGGCATATTGTGGTCCATGGTGTATATAATTTTCCATTCGAGCAGCCACAGTCTCATAATGAACTTCTGTTTTGAGACCCATTCCAGTTATTGGACGATGCTGCATGATCGACTGTTACGAAGAAATGTAATAAAATATGATATCGATGTTGTTTTAAGCGAACCCTTTAATAGTTGTTTCGTTAGAGAAGAAAATTTAATAGTCGTTACAAAATTCGTAGGTGTTTATGAGTAACAATTTTAACGGTATTTCTCATCAATCATGACCGATAGGACAAGAAAAAAAGTACATTACAAAACGTGACTTCATCAGACAGATGTTAGTGATATGACGAAAAGAGAAGCATTGCGAACGAGTCGATCAAATGAATAATTTTCAAGCGAGACTTCATCTGCCTCAACATTTTTCAAAAGTACAATGACGTACAGGTGAAATATGTAATTTTGTCACTCAAATAGTTGAAAGTGCAATTGCGGGTGAAATAGGAATGCTATACCGACCTCTTACCTACATGCACAGGAAGAGAACTCATAAAAATTTCAACGTATGATGTTAAAATAAGAATAATATTTTTTTATGTTACTCTACGAAAGATTTTAATTCCATTCTATTCTTACAAGTAAGCCTATATTTTATCATATTTCTAAAAATATCTTTTATAGTTGGAAGATATTTTCAATTAATCCATTTTCACCAAGAACAAATATCAATTGATTCCACTTTCGCCGAAATAAATGTCTGATCGAAAACAATCGATCCTATCATTACCAAATCAAATAGTTACTAAGCCGCTTGTCCATGAAAAACAGACGAATATGACACACTAATCACTCGAAAATATGAAGGCTGTTTCTTATTGATTCATTTCATTTATTGTCATCAGTATGTGTGAATTCCATATTAATAGTTGAAAAAATGATTCCGAGCAAATTTTTTATTCTATTTGAATATAGATATTCGATAAATATATATATGATACTTTTATCTTTACTTCATATCTTTAAAATAAAATTTCGGTTATTATTTAGATTTGAAGAAAAAAAACAAAGAGCAAATAAATAAAAATCTTGAATATATGTAAATCAAATAGATTAGGGAGAACATTTACAACGCATAGTATTCTCAAATTCCATACAATAGCCACTTGTGTAACCATATTTTTGACAATGGTGTCTACAATGAGGTTGACTGTAATAATCGGATACATTACAACGAGAACTTGGAAACGTAGTCGTATGAATATCATGATTATACTTGACTGAAAAACAATAATTGATTGAAATATAGAATAAAAAAATATTTTCATGTTCTACATACTACGATAAGTTGACGTGTCCATTGCGATTGTCATTTGAATGATAAATAATAAAATACGTAAATATGAAAAGAACTGTTTTGCATACATTATTTCTCTATAATAAAATAGTTTTTAACAATTGATTATAGTTTATTCTTACCTTTGATAATAATTGAATATGAAAAAGAAAAACAAATGCTAAATAATATTTGAAAATTTATATATATATATACTGATATGAATATAATATGTATCAGATGGTAATTATCAAAAAGGATTAAAAATTGTGAATTATATATCATTTACTTGTCGCAAACATTTCACATTCTATTATAATGATTTGTCTACGATTATTTTATGTCTAGAATCTGTCTATTCATTTAATTAAATTTTAGAAATTTATAGCTAAATGAAAATAAATATAATTTCGATTTTTTTAATCGATTCTTGACAGTGGCTTTTTTACTTCTTAGAATTATTCGATGTATCATCTTTCTTGGAATAATTGATAGACAGATTAGTTTCTATTTGAAATCTTTTAAGATTATTCTTCTTGGAAATATTTTTTTAATTGATATTTGATACTTATGATTTATTGTTACAGTTTATTTCATTTGATGAAGTTTTACAGAATCATATATCATTTTAAAATTCACCAATAACAATTATTTATC